ATGTTTGTTTTGATTCGCTATGAAAGTTTGACAGATAACATCAGGGGTGTGTGGATTCATGCAGCACATGCAGGGGTGAGTGAAATAGCTTGGGACTGCTTGGGACCGTTGTTCTGGTACTGAGTGAGCCAAAAATAATAATGATTTTCTTCGGGACCCAGTGGTCTTAGAGTTACCTCTATGGTATTACTACACTGAGTGCAATTATCATCGTATTTTTGCTCACTAATGTGAAATTCTAAACTGCATCTTACATTAAACGTAACAGTATTTCAATTTGTTTAGCATGTGGAGTCCACCTGATTCGACGTGATCGTAAAGCTTCTTTGATTTGACATGCAGATGACGTAGAATCATTGAATGCCCTTCTAAAGTGAGTGGCAAACGAATTGCACTTTTCCGAAGCAGGAGTGGTGGCTTCATTGCCCAGAAACATCTCAACGGGTAGCCCATTCGTCTTCCGTTTAGAGTCGACAAATTTCCAAAAAGTGTCGTGGATGTCTACGTAGATTTACCGGAGTTCGTTTGCGGTAGCGTTTGTACAGGTAACGGTTATACGTGCGATAATTGTTACTAGCACTTGCGAAATGTTGCTTGGCAAAAGGACACCGAGACTGGCAGTAGGTTCGGAGTGCTTTGGATCTTAGAAGTTTCAGTCGTCGTAAATGTGTATTTCCCGAAGGTGGTTTTGAAGATGGCCTGCGCAGTGGAACAAAATCAACCAAGTAACTCTTCAGCAGTACAGTACAGAAGTACTCTACAGCACTGTCAATATCTTCAGTGGATTCAAGGATATGCCAGTCACTGTGGCGAAGCGCTTCAAGTAATCCTTCAAAATCAGCGCGGTGAAAGTTAAGTCCAGGTTCGTCCGGGAGACTCTCAAATTCAGTAGGCTGTGATAGACTAATAGCAACTTCAAAAGCGGGATGATTGGCATCAATAATAGAGAGCGGTTCTACAGCTTCTTCAATCTGGCATCGAGTGAGCGTTGTTTCATTCGCCACATCGAAATCCAAGATTCGCATTTTCTGATTAGTAATATAGTTATCTTGAGACAGACAGGCAAGCAGCAGAGATGTGAGACTGCAATGCATCTACGGAAGGGCGATCATTGCTTGGAGTGTTCCAGATAAGTCCCGTTAGATTAAAATCGCCAAGCAGAATAGTAAGATCGTTATTCCCAAGTTGTGAATGAATCGCTTATATAGACTCGATATGGCTATTTATGACTGTTAACATTCTGGTAGTATGTACACCCTTAATTTGTTATTTACATCTGAGACCGGTTCGTTGCAAGCAAGGGAGTTGACACAGAAGAATCGATCTGGAAATTTGATCTACTTGATTGTCGTGCAATACCATTCACAGCTTCGGCTGGACATATACTATTTCTAGTATTACCTAGACAAAAACCTGGAATAGCATCGAACTCAGTAGCAGAGTAGGAAGCATTGGGTCCACTGGCTGGAGGGAATGCTGATGCTGTTTGCTCTGGTTCGATGACGGGTAACGGCTGAGCAGCAGGCACGAGGCAGGCATCAGTGCGTGGTACAGTATCAACCACTCCATTCATAAAACTGGCGCCGCTGTCAATGAGACAGATTTTAGGAAGCCAAGAAGCGGTAATATTATCGTACTTGCCTTGGTTAGCAAGTTGGAAGACCCCCTCACCAGCTCCAAACACAGGAACGGAATGGCTTGGATGGCAGGAATAGTCAGCAGAAAAGCAGCGGTGCTCGACTGTGTCGGGTGGATTAGGGGCTTCCATCATGTTGATTAACTTGCATTCCGTTATTTGCGAACTTTGATGACTGTTAAGGCGATGACTAGGCAATTGTATGGAAAGGAACTGTACTTGCCTGTAGCGTCGGACTGGAAGACCCCGTTTCCATACCCAAACACAGGTCCAGGACGACTGCTGCGCGCTGGCGGGAAAGACACGACTGTGATGGGGGAATAAGGGGCTTCCAAATGGCTTAGACTGATGCGTTCCGGAAGAGTTTAACTCAAATCCACAACAGACGTGATTGCGGATGACAAAGCTTCTGGTGGGAGCAGCGGTGTTACTGGCTTCTTTACTTTGAGTGGAACCCGAAATTTTTGAGATCCGTAGTCCTCAAATTCCCGAAACAGCAATCACTCAGGCCATGTTTATGGAACCAGTGCTTTTCTTTTAATCGAAGGACACGAAAGAAAGGGAATCAAATTCCTTTCCTTTCGGGACGAGCTTTACCACGGCAAGATCACTGTCAATCTCCAGATTGGCTTCAACCATAGCAAATACGAATTCTACGGAGACATCCGGGCGAATTCTCGACAGGTTACTTCCCAGTTGGCAGTTTTTAGGGACCCGTGCAGCCACCTCGAATTCACGAGGTCGCTTAGTAGCTCTACGTTGGACAATGGCAGGCCAGCAAATGTTTGCAACTGATGAAAACTGGGCTTTGAATTCATTTACTTTATCTCGGACCGCAATTCAGTAATCGCGCAGTCGTAAGCGTGCAAAGAGGTGATTTATCATCGGCCTGACACGAGATCGCACGGAAATGTGAGTTTTCGAATAACTCAGCACATTTGTCACACATCCAGTAGCCATGGCAGACTACGAAATCGATGCCCGTAATAGATCAGCATAGATCTAAGAAAATCATAAAATTAAATTTCCAAGATGGGCATAGTTTTCAAAAATCAAGAACACACATTTGTCAGATAATTCAAGGATTAACTTTAAAATTCTCCAATAAATAGTTAGCTGGGCAAACTCTAACGATTGTGAAATTGAAAATATTAGTCCTCAAACAGCTCATTTCGTGTTTGTTTCAATTGTCTTATTCAAACAATATTCTCACATCGTAATGTTGTAAATTTAGTCATGAACATCAGAAAATTTCCAATAGTCGAAGAAGCATTCAAAGACTACCAAGTTGATGGCAGGCGATTTGTTCCAGTTGGTACGAAGCAGCCATGAAAAAGAAGCAAAAACTATGAATCATTGATAACAAGTTGAAAAACTACAAGGGACAGCCCTATGGGATTGACGTAGGACTACGTGGTCTTATATGATAAATCTTATTTGTTAACTGCAGCAGGAGCTTGTGTTTTGTGTAGGAATACGAATTTGACCAGGGTTCTCTCTGTTGATACTCTTTAGTATGACGCGCTTGACCTAGATGGCTCACAGCGACTCACGAAGAGCTACTGTTTCCGATCAATATCGGTGCAGCTTCTTCCTCTTTCTATGGATGCTCATGTGGGCTGCAGCTCGCTGCTTGCAGGCAGCCTTTCGTTTTGTACTGGAGAACAATGTTCAACGCCACGCGCCGAAAGTACTGCTGCTGCTGCAGCTGATGCCGACGACCGGAACCCCAACAACTGAATCCGATCAGTGGATGAGCCCAGCCTTGGTAGCTAGCTGCTTGCGGGGAGCCTTTCGTTGTGTTCTGGAGAACACCATCACTCACCACGCAGTGCTTGAATAAACACTATTTGGTGAGACCGGATGGAATTCAACTTTGAAATAATTATCAAAGCTACAATTGCATATTCGTGCAATTTTCAATAGTGACAATTTGAAAAATGATAAAGTCTTAAATCAATCAGATGCGTAGAAATATATCTGATCGATTGGTGATAAAATTATTGAAATTGATCCAGGGGCAGCTGAGTTATTAACGTTCAAAATCTTTCATAATTTTGTTACATGTTCGATTTTCGGTTTTCACAAAGTATACCCCCATAAATAAATCACAGACGTAGCCCACCGTCAAAAGTGTTTCGTTTCGGAGTTATTAATATTGTCTCACTGGATTGCTTTCCTCACCCAACGTACATTGTATTCACTTCATCAGGCAAAACAAAAATCATCCAAACACATTGACTAATGCCACCATCCCAACCATCACAGTCAAACTCGAACTCAGCAACAGCCAATTTCCGTTATTCAACGAACAAATTTCCACCGTCTCACATGCATCACACTTGATCGACCGGGTTGCATTGGTCCATCCGTAGCAAATATTCTGCTGCTTGAAAGTGCATCCGGACGCAAAACCCCGGCTAAGATCTCCTGTGGGTGATAGATTTAACTCCAGTTCAATCGAAAAACATTGGAAGCTGACGTTAGCCGCTGACGATTCATCTACGATCTCCAGGGTGGGATTGAAAGCCATCATGTCTTCATGAAGTTCATTAACCAAAGCGACGGAACAATCCAGTATGCTACTTTGATTTTTGCACTCGTTCCATCCCGCTGGACTAAAACAGGTTGTGCAGTTACGGGCGAAAGCTGGAAATTGAGACAATAAGATTGATCATTTGAAGCTGATCGAAGAAGGGAAGTACCTGAATCAATGCTCAAAAAGGCTAACAAGCAAAATTTAATTTGCAATAAGCTAACCATTTTTCCACGCGATGCTGCTAGTTGGATGTTGGTTGTACAACTGAAGTAATTTTTAGTTTCGATTTAAAAATAATCCACAATTGATGAGTCACCTTTGATATCAGCATTTTCTGCAATTCTCGTGGCAGATAACCAAGTTTGAGCTAGGATTAAGCGGGTTGTAATCTAACTACACATCGAAGAACTATTTTTCCGATCGATAAAAAGTGGTATCAAGTGCTCAGTTGTGTCATCAACAACGTTTTGCAACTTTTTTGCTCGCAATTTAAATTTAATGTTAAGGCCCTAACTTGCAACTATTCACAATTTATGGTATAAAAAAGCACATTACGCGTTCTCAGTGACGGCTTACTGATACATAATGTTGAATAGTATATAAGATATTAATTTCACAAAAAAGTAGATTGCACCCTCTAGAAGAATCATAATTTAAAATAAATCAATTTATCTGTCAGACAAACGGCATAATCCGCCACGCTTGTCGACACAACAAATTACTTAGCCCGTTATCTATCCCCAACGTTTTGAGCTCTTCACGCCAAGTGCCTAGCTAATTGATCACTTAAAAGCGATGTTTCCTATCAGTGTACGTGAAAACTATAACTTCACCTCGTAAATCGCGTCATATCGATTTCAACCCTAGCAGAATGCAGTTCGTATCAGGGATCTTGACCTTCCAGTGTCTACTGGTGCTGACGGCCATTTTTGTGAGCGGTGAGTTCTTGTCCGACGCAAAGTGATCGAAGAAATTTATCAAACATTCATTCTAGTATCGAACGCTCTGATATGTACGACGTGCCTGGACGACGCATCCTGCACAAACAAAACGGAAACACAAGAGTGTACCGCTGTCTTGGTGACTCTGCATCATAATCTCCTGTTGGTAAATAATCCCAGCTTGAACGTATCGCAAAGTGATGTCTTCAAATGCTACGATCTGGCCATGTCCTATCAGAGTCCGCTGACGGGAAGCACCGTTCTGGTAGTTCAGAAGGGATGTACCTATAATGCGACCAAGTTCTGTGAAGGATGGGTTAATACTACAACCATCACCCGATGCACTACTTGTGATTCTGGTGATGATTGTAACAAAGGTCAAACGGAAGGTACTACTACTCCGGTAGCTCCAACAACTCCGCTCAACAATTCAACTACAACAACGGAAGCTTCAAGCACAACATATGCTCCAGCCAACTCGACAACAACTTCCGCTAGCGTAACTACAACGACTGAAGTGGTGACTACAACAACAGCAGCTTCAAACACAACATCTGCTCCAGCCAACTCGACAACAACTTCCGCTAGCGTAACTACAACCACTGCAGCAGCGACTACAACGACAGCAGCTTCAAGCACCACATCTACTCCAGCCAAAACGACAACAACTTCGGCAAGCACAACAGTAAGCACGGCAAGTCCCATTACCACTACAACAGCGAAAGCAGGAGGCACAACCAATCTAGGATGCGTAGTAAATTGGTTTACAATAGCAGGCTATGCCGTGCTGCATGGGCTCATCGCTCGGTGGTAAAAATATTCGAGGGTGTGAAGGAAGCTGCCATTCAAGAAGTGAACTAATTGTCGACCTTTTTTTTTAATTGGTTTCAAAGGTACTTACGAAATATAAACAGAGTTTGGTCATAGACTCTAACTCGGCAGTTTCATTAGAATATCGTAGAAAGAAATTGAGAAGTCGGCTCGGTAAAACAAAATTTGGTTATGTCTGTACCACGCATGCCAGATTTGAAGACATGAATATGAATATCTGTGAAGGCATTTTGTTTTCGAATACATTTTGAAGATATGCCATGATCAAAATATCAGACATTTGAAGGTATTTGAAAATTGGTACACACAATTTAAGCTTTTTTTCCTACAAGATACCATTTTGACTTCAAATTACAAACAGCTGCTTGAAAATGAATATTATTAGTAAAAACGTAGCCAGGTTAAAAAAAAAATACTGTGTGAACGAAGTGATCAAACTTCATAGAAAGATAAATCAGTATTGATGCATCATTTCATAGTCTGTGAATGTTTAAAAGATGTTTGAAGTCTGTAGTATTTAATTTTGGATCAGTATGGAATATCTTCTGATTTGTTTTCCGTCAATCATGTTTTCCTTACTGAGTACCAGTGCTACCGACGCAAGTGAGGCAGCTCCCACACCTGGACCCTACCTATCGACCCATCAACTCATGAACCGGGGACCAACGGCTTTACTTCCCAGCCGAAGGAAGGCGTGATCAGAGATGTTATGCCTCAGAACATCTCGGCGGCGCCGACTGGGATTGAACCCAGGCCTGCTGGGGTGAAAGGTAATCACGCTTACCACTACACCACCGACGCCGCTAACTTGCGAGTGTTGCTGCAAGGGTAAAAGCTCCCGTACCCCCTTTCCCAAGGAATCGAAATCAAGCTCGAAGGCGCCGTTGGACATAGTGTACGGATGTGTGTGGTCCAGTGAATGTACCATCGGAGTGGCGGATCGACGAAACCGTTATCTCATCGAAATGGTAGGTGCCTGCTGTTTGATTATGGATTGCATCAATGTTATTGGGCGGTAGCATTGAATACGGCGGTGTATTTGCAAAACATATAGCAATCAAGATCCGTTACAGTCCCGCCGTACGAACTATGGAACGACCGAAAACCAGACGTTGGTCATCTGCAAGTTTTTGGTACCACTGAAGCCCACCGTAGCAGATATCAAGCTGAACATTGCATTATGTCCTAAGTAACATTGATCGATTCTCTTCGTCGACTTTCTCTTTCGTTAACAACTTGAGCACATAACCGTTTCTTGTTGTGTTTGTCGTATTAGATGCTAGATAAAAGCTTCTTTTATCAATCTGTGTGCTGAAAATACCTGGGAATGTCTTTACATGGCCGTAGGAATACAAAGAGAAAGTCAACAAGGTTTATGTGATGAACTAGCCTACGGCTAAAAATCACAAAAAAAAAGAAAACAAAAAAAGAAAGTCGACGAAGAGAATCTGTAAATGTTACTTAGGACCTAATGCAATGTTCAGCTTGATATGCCCGACGATGAGGATGACGGTGGAGAAGAAGAAGAAGACGACGGTGACGGTGGTGATGGCTACAATACTGCTGTTGGGAGCGAGCCAGACGACGTCGAAGACAACGACGACGAGTCAATCCATAGAAAGCGACGGCGAATGGCGATATCAATGTGAACATCGAACCACCAACTGAACTGAGACGATCCAGAGTCACCAAGAGAATCCTGCCGAAACGTTACTCAGAGGTCACTGGCGTCACCAGTATTGCTGCCGATGAACCCAGGAGCTATATCGATGCAATCCAATGTCCAGATGCAGAAGCGTGGCATTTCGCAATGAAGGAGGAGCTACAGTCGTTACTGGACAACCAAACATATGAGTTAGTACCACTGCCCCCTGGAAGGAAGACCGTTGGTTGTAAGTGGACCTTCCAAAAAAAGCTCAAAATGGCAACACAGTGCGATACAAGGCCAGGTTGGTCGCACAAGGATTCACACAAAAATAAGGGACGGATTACGATGAGGTATTCGCTCGGAAAACTACTCTTCGCATCATCTGGACCATTGCCAGTCGGGATGCCAAGCTGGTGCAGCACATGGATATCAAGACTCCTTAGGAGCTGTTCATAAACTACGTAGACCGATTTTTAGATCGACAGCACGTTCAAGAAGATGGGGTTCAATCCTGCCGAATCGGATCGTTGCCTGTACGTGAAGGCGCAACAAGGTAAGCGCAGTCACATCTTGATCTACGTTGATGATATGTGTGCTGCCACTAAAAAGAAGAATTCGAGACAATCACAAAAGCGCTGGCTAAGCAGTTCAAATTCTCAAGCCTGGGAGAACAACGACTGTTCCTTGGGATATGCATCGAGAAGCAAGACGGACAAGATTGTGGGGCGGTTTGGACACGAACACGCCAAGCCGTCCAAGATTCCACTCGACCCAGCTTACGTAAAGCAAAAGGAGGAGGAAGAACTACCTACCAAATCGTACCGTAGATTGGTAGGTAATTTGCTGTATTTCGGCGTCAACACGCGGCCAGTCCTCATTGCTGGGAAGAAAGGTTTCCAAACCAACAAACCGCGCCTGGACGCAGGCGAAACGGGTGCTGAGATAACTCAAGGCAACCAAGGACTTTTCCCTACATCTGGGATCTGGAAATGAAGGTTTGGAATATTTTGTCGACGCAGACTGGGCTGGAGATGAAGGAGACCGAAAATCCAACTCTGGTTTCCTGATCAAATTCGGTGGAGGGCTGGAAAGTTGGGGCACCCACAAGCAGTCGTGCGTTGCACTTTCTTCAACAGAAGTCGAGTTTGTGGCCTTGGCTCAGATGGAAGCCGATCTGATGACTAAGCCATCGGGTGAAGCTGGAAAAACATCGATATGCGATCGGCGTCCAAGGAAATCTGTAAGGCAATCGTTGACTTCGTTGAGGTATGAAACTGCATTCAACGAAGCAACCTACACTGAAAATAAAATTTCGTTTATACAACGAAATCACTCGTTTGTTATAAAGGGTGTCCACGATTAAATTGCCACACTATGAAATTGCTCTAACTTTTTAACCGTTGGGTAGAATTTAATGAAAATTTGGGTGGATTTAGTTCATAGTGCATTTTTTACATCCTGCAAGTTTTAAAGTCCTGTGATCAAAACTCGCGGAAATGGAGTCGAAAGAACAGCTCGTGCGTGATAAAATCTTGCGCATTCATCACGAGAACAAGGATCTCTCGCATCGTTCCATCGCTAAAACGTTGGGAATCGCGAATTCCACGGTGTCGCGAGTGATTAAGCGGTTCGAGGAACGGTTGACCACCGATCGGAAGCCCAGAAGTGAAGGAAAAAGTATTCCGTACAACACCAAAAATCACAACCGCGTAGTTGGGGCCTTCAACCGAAATCCGAACGCCTCCGTTAGGGATGTGGCTAAGAAGCTGCACCTAAGCCGAAGTTTTGTCCAGAAGGCCAAAACTAAGGCTGGGCTTCGAACGTTCAAGGTACAAAAGGCCCCTAATCGCGACGAGAAGCAGAACAAGTCCGCCAAAACCCGTGCCAGGAAGTTGTACCTCAACATGCTGACGAAAGTTGAATGCTGCATCATGGACGACGAAACATATGTGAAGGCCGACTTCAAACAGATCCCCGGCAACCTGTTTTTCACGGCCAAGGATAAGTTCAGCGTTCCGGAGCATGTCCGCACTCAGAAGATGTCCAAATTTGCGAAGAAATTCCTGGCTTGGCAAGCCATCTGCACGTGCGGGAAGCGGAGTGCACCTTTCGTGACCCAGGACACGATGAACGGACAGGTGTACATAAAAGAGTGCCTCCAGAAGCGGCTGCTTCCTCTCCTGAAGGCCCACAACGTCCCAACAATCTTCTGGCCGGATTTGGCCTCATGCCACTACTCCAAGGACGTGCTGAAGTGGTATGCGGACAATAAGGTCAATTTCGTGCCGAAAATGTTCAACCCTCCCAACACTCCGGAGCTCCGCCCCATCGAGAAGTACTGGGCGATTATGAAGCAGCACCTTCTTAAACGACCTAAGGTAGTGAAGACAGTCGAGGAACTGAAGAAAGTATGGGTTTACATGCAAAAAACGGTTGATTCACAGGTTGTGCAGAATCTTATGGCCGGGGTTAAGGCCAAGGTGCGGGCATTTGCGTATGGACTGTAAATAAAATACGAGTAAAATGGTAAAATGAAGTTTAATAGTTATTTCTCAATCCCTGAAAATTTGATGGCAATCGGATGAAAACTCGAATTTTGCGAATCAATTTTGTGTGTGGCAATTTCATCGTGGACACCCTTTACGAATGTATTCGTTTTTTTTCTGCAACGAAATTGATTTGTACATTGTATGAAGCTAGTTTCGTTAGAACTGTCACACTCGCTATCGCTACACCCAACCAGCGTTGGGTGTAGCGTTGGTTGTGGGACCGAAAAATCTGCAGTGTGTTAGTGAGGATGGGTAAAAATAGCTTCATCATTGGAAGGAATAAACATGACAAAACAAAATTAAAAATGGTTCAGCTAGGCACATACCATGCAAAGCTGCTGACCTTACAGAGAGGCACAGATGGCCAATCCAATCCGATTTTTCTCCGTACTTTTGGGTTGAATAGTTATGTTGGTCCCATTTCAGCATTCCGGGAAGTTCGATACATCGTAGTGGGAGTAATTAAACTTGAATGTTGAATACGAGCTGCTCCGAACCTTGTTCCGATGTTCCGAGGATGATTGATTTCAATGTGTGTGTGTATTTACAATCTAACTCCCACTGACTCCTGCAACCATCTTTAATTTATTTAAATAATTGCAATTAAATCCAAGAGTTAGAAGTGACAGCTCTATCGCAACTCCAAGAGCCCATTTCAAGAACACAAGCATTCCGAAGCTATGTTCGTATACGATAAGCCCCGCTCCAATACATTTCAAGGTGGGAATCATTAAAAGTGTACTGAAGTTTATTGCTTGAATGACGCGTATTTAATGAGTTGTAAATGTTTGTAGTATC